ATCATCGATCTCACTAGAACATGTTCAAGCAGGCGTCCAAAGTTCAACCCTCTACTAAAACAATTGTTCATGTCACATTTATCTCCCACCAAACAGGTCCTATGTACTAGCATAAAGTCTGTCCGAAGGGCTCCGCGAGTAGAAGCGCGAAAAAAGTATTCCAAAGCTGACAAGCAGTTGCGTGGTTACAGTCGGCACGCCCAATTACAGTTGTGTGTCAGCAGTGATGCCGCGTAGAGGGCAAAAGCAGCCAAGGAGACATCTTAATCTACCATTGGATGACTACAGCACAGCGGATGACAGCAGTATACTGTCCCTTATGTATACGCTGAAACAAAGAGGTGCACGGGTACAACTGTCAATACCCTCTAAAAAATGGAACCCTCCAGCCGGAGGCCACACAGCTAGTGTGGAACCGCTGCTCCTTGATTTGCCAAAAAACCGAACTCATTTCGTACGGCCAACGACGACTGGTCAGTCTTCCCCAAGACCAAGAGTGAACGAAATGGCATGCTGACTTTGTCGCAATCAAACGGCCGTCAAGGGGAAATTACTAGGCCGGACTTTAAGTTATCTGTTAAGGAGCATTCAAAGCTGAAGGGCAACAAAATGGCAGGACAAAGTTCATGAGTCCACCTACTCAGGATTAGAGGGAGACGTCGAGATTGAACAAATAAAGGGCCTTAGTAACCTTCCCCTCACTGGCTTAATTGGGGAAATTAAAAAGTGTTTGAAAATTTATTCTAGTAACTCGTCATGAACACTTATCCCTTTCATCCTCTTTATTGAATAAGAAATACGCCATATGCGTAAGCTTTAATAATACCTACCATTATTCACGCAAACGCAATTTGGTAGGAACCATATATCGCCGCAAAAAGGTTTTGATACTATTCAGACGGTAAAACGAGAAAGTTTCATGTACCACAGAAGCTCCTCCCACTTAATATATACCCTGGCAATTTTATCGAAAGTTTCAGGTCAAAAATTGCATAAAAATGCCGAGTGTATGTCCAAAACGGAAACGACAGCACTCTGTTCCATCTTGTTGGTGTGTGCGAATAATTCGCTAGAATGACGAGCGAGCTTGAAATTCGAACCATGTGCCGGTCGAGAGCGGCAATCAGCTGTTAGTTCATGAGTGCTAAAGACTCGGTGCTTACCGGTCACACGCATAAGCTACTTGCCGGAGATAATGTAATTGTGGTCATTTCTAACCAATAAGCAAGTTCGCCCCAGATTGCCCTAAGACGCCCTAATTGTGAAAGGGAAAATAAAACATCCAATTAACAGCCTCGGTCTCGATCTCATGTGAATGCTGAACCAGTCGAATGAGGACAATTCGCGTCTCCTGTGGACTCAATCAGCAAGTTTGTGAATTTTTGGTTGTTTATAAGAAGCCTGGAACGGGCTTCCTGAGGACGTAATAATGGCGGATACCACGGAGACGTTCAAGCAAAGACTAGATGTATATTTGCTTGGACAATACCGCTTGTCTGGACAGAACAGCTCTGTGGTACCAAACCAACGCCTTACATACACCTACCGCTAATGCGGATGACTGTCATTGCATTTTACCAATATCATCTACAACTGAATGTGTTTGAGTTTCGGTCCTGCATTTTCAATGAAAAATATTCCTTTAAGTGTATACATTACTGACAACATTCAGTACTGTGTTTATTTAAAGTTACATATTGCATGTACCGTTTACAATAGGGTTTTCAGAGGCATTGCCTATTACCCTTAAAATATACTGACCTATACTGGCCTATTCGATTACACGGTTGATATTCATGTTTGATGAAGCAAGTTAAAATGTCGGATGCGTAAACTAGTGCTGAGGAAATTTCTCCTAAGCTGACTAACCTGAATCTCGTGTAGTTTCTATTCCCATAGATTTATTTGTCCACCAGTTCTTTTTTATACAACAAACAAAGCCAAAAATGAAAAGGGCTTTTCCATCGCTCGCGATCGCATGGACCCGTTTTCGTTGCTCAGCTGCTTCAGAGGTTCGCAGTGTTGTTCTGTCTGTTATTGCCTTAGTTTTATTTCCATTTTCTATCCTTCGCCCGAAGCATGGCCTTTCCCTTTCTTTGCGGTCGTGATAGTAATCGTGAGTTACCAAATGTCCAACCTTCCTCCAACCCATAAATCCTCAACTTTTGTCAAGTCTCCCAAGCCAAATATTTTGGAAGGAGCAATTTAGTAATTTGAAGTTTGTTTTTTTTTAATCCAGTCACTGAGACGGACACTCATATTTGACACAATTCTGAGCTCCTCGAAATGAGAGAAAATTGTAAACGTGATCCTTTATCCTTCATCTTTCTGTGCGTCTTTTGAATAGACCTTGCGTGCTCATAGGCCCACCGGGCCACGATTTTTGCCGCAGTTTTTGTAGGTGCGTAATGGACATTACATCTCCACTCCTGCAGCATAATTTACTTGCCCTTGAGCTGCCTTCTAGTGGGGACGACTGTGTGGAGCCCCCTAACAAGAGATCAGCTTGTGAGCCCGTCACCCCGATTAAGCCGACCTCAGTCCCGACATCCCAAACTACCTCAAGTAAGTAGAAAGTATCCTTGTCATTATTTTCTATCGGCAGTTTTAAATGGAAGTGCCGAATGTTCGAGCTTAAATGATATGCGAAATCGGCTTCGGTCAAAGTTTATGGCTGTTCTCGGGCCGGTTTTGGACGACCACCTGCAGAATGTACTTGTATGCGCCAAAACTGTCCGTGAACTCCGCGAAGAAACTAAAACACTGAGAGCAACAACCTTGAGTTTGGAAGAACTTATTCGGTCGATAAAACCGTCCGTCGTACGTTTCCAGATGCTTTTGCCCATACTACTATTATTATTACGATTACAATCGCATTATTATTATTATCATTATTATTATTGCTTTTATTACTACGTGTTGTACTTTATTAGATAAAAAAAGACCACTGGGGCATGGAGTCTGTAAGTTTGCTTACGAGAGTTTCGGACTTTTGCGTGAGCTCGTCGTCGGGAAATTGTGAGAACAGTAATATAAGGCCACCATAGTCGAGGTGGCTGTAGCATTCAACGGTTGGCGTTACAGGTCACGTTGTCTTTACACCAGGCAGCGCACCCTGACTAGAGATCCATATGCTTATTGGTCGATTAATTATTAGGGCTTCGGGTCTTGGTCGGCCCAGTTTGTCTTGCACTGCCTGGGCTTTAACGTTTGTGGCTTCGACACTCATGCAGGTTCAAAGTAAGCCAAGTCGCTGCCCCGGACTCCGCTAGTCAGCTTTTTTACTCAGTCGCCACTTTTTTCTGTGGGATCTCATTCATTTCATTTTTTAATTACGTCCACTGGTTTGTTTTTGGCTATAGCGCTTATCAGATTGGTTTGTCTTCTAGGCCCTCACGCGGATCACTGTGCTGCCTGCCATGAACAATTCTGACTACCTGAAGTTATAAAATCCTTGTTACATTTATAGATGGGCCAGTCGGTTTTTACTCATCATAATTAGTTGTGGGCAGTTCTTTTCCCTTTATTACTTCTACACACCGAAACATCCGAACAGTAAAGCACTGCTAGTGCCACTACTGATGTTGGTTAGTTAAGGCTGACCAACATAGCGCAGGACTTATAACGCCTTTACAGAGCCGATATTATGGAATTCATTCAACTAGAAATTGTCTGTGGACAAGATGGCTATGACCATCTGCGGAGCGTGGTCAACCATGCTCGTACTATTGCGCTGGTGCACAAACTTATCGTTGCATGGGTCTTGGCTTTCGTAAAATCGCGTCTTTTGCTCCTTAGAGAATCTTTTTCTTTGTATGTCTGAAAGATCATTTGCAAAATAATCAACACATAAGGCAATGAATGAGTACGTAGCGGATGTCCCCACTACCACCACCCTTGTAAATGGGTCAAAACTTTGAGTAATGGTCGGCAACCTGCCAGTATTCGAATTTACAGAACATTTATAGCCATCATGGCCAGTGCTTAGCTATAGTTGCTCCTACCTTCAGAACCGTCATTCTTCCTTTCTTTCCTCCAAAGACCAAGCATACTTAATATTTATTGGGAAAGCAAGCGACCAACATCTGTCACGAGAACGAAGCCCCCCTTGCATGCAGATGTAGCTGTGAATAATAACCGATATCACAAAAGGCTTGATCGCTGGAATATTGCTTTTCCTTGCCTCACGTTTTAGACCCCAGCTTAAACCCCCTTCTCGAGCCATAAGCAGATAAGACCAGCAACGCTTGGTGTATACAGCATTTTGAGATCCAGCTGCTGCAAATCCCATGTCCGCCAGCCAGTGGACCATAATTTAATTGCCGATCATCGAACATTCATCACTGATGCCCTTAACAAATGCTCCTATAGCTTAACTGGCCATGTCCGCGTTCTTGATAGTCAAACCGTAGTCTCCGTTTTTTTTTAGTGTACGTGATGTTCTGACAACGTTGTTTCTCAGTCTTCCATCTGTTTTTGTGTATCCATCACCCGTCTCTTTGGGTAATTGCGTGGCCCAGGCAGTCCTAACGCCACTTAATCTGTGGAGAGATCGTTGCGCTTGTTGGCTGTGGGCCCGGGAACCAGGACTCTAGTAGCTCCCTACCAGCATGGCTGTCGTCCTCTGTATTTCGGCCTCATCGATTCGTTTAATTACTTACTTGATACGGCTGCGATCATGTCTGATCTAGCCGGCCTCGATGATGTCCCGAACTGTACTTCTCTACTCCTGACGACCCGCGGCAACAGATCTGGACAGCTCAACCCATTTTCTTCGCCAACGACGGAGACCGAATACCGAAGGTCCAAGAACCATCTCCATGTCTTAATGAACTGTGTCGAGCCAGGTTTTGATTTGACCCTCTCTTCGACTCCTCCAATGGGATACCGGTGCCGGCTCGAGGGCAGTAACACTGAGCTCCTGAAGTGGACAACGAAGAACATGCCTAAACCACCTCAGTCGTCTTTCTTGGGTGGCCTGAGTTATCCTTGCGATGTTGTCGCAGCGAGCGCGGACTGTCTCATTTGAGAGGAAGTCGGTGAACTTCACGCGAAGGATGGTTCTCAAGCAGTGGTGGTCAAATACCTCCAGTTCTCGCCCGTTCTCCACGCGCAAAGCCCAGCATTCACAACCGTAGAGAAGGACAGAACGGACAGATGCATGGCACACGCGAATCTTAGTGGCGACGGACAGGTCGCGTAGAATCCATAGACATTTTCGAAGGCTTCAGAAAACCCAGCGGGCAGCACCGATTCGGGGGGGAATGTCATCCTTACTCTGTCCATTAGGCAGCAGCCCCGCCCCGAGTTATTTAAAACCGTCTACTTCTTCAAGTTGATAGCCATCAATCCCGAGGTGTGCCTTCTCCTGGTCGGGAATGCAGCTTGAAAACACTTTGGTCTTCCCAGCGTTTATGGATAAACCGACAGATTTAGCGACCTCGTTCACCCGTGACACCACAGACTGCAGATCACCAAAACTTGAAGCAAGTAAGGCGAAATCATCGGCATAGTCTAGATCAGTCAGTCGGTGTCCGGGTGCAAACTCAACGCCGTCACCCTCGTGTAGGGCCCTCCCGATAATCCAGTCAATAGCGTGGTTGAACAGAATGGGCGACAGGATACAACCCTGTCGAACGCCAGACCGAATACTGAACGGTTGGGTAAGATTGTTGCGGACCAGGACATCGGGTCGCTTAAAAACCGTTACTCCGGAAAGCGACAGACATCGCGTTATGGAAGCACTACTGATGTGCTTGCACGGTTATGCGGTAGGTCGTGAATACTATACGCCAGTCACGTCTCTCTTACTCACCTTCTCAAGTGATACCGTCATATGCTGTGCTGAGCTTGGGACGAAAATGTCCGCATCTAATCCCGCATAAACCCTTATTCTGGTCGATACCTACGCCGGGGTGACTCTACGAGTAGTCGTGCAGCCTGTGGCTTTTCAGTCTGGCGTGCCATTTCACCTTGTTCCACCCAAGTTTTATCTCTGTGTGATTGTTCGTTTTTCCTTCTGATCAATCCTTTCGTTGAAATTGACCTTACAAAACAGTAGTCTTTTTTTCATGCGTGTATCAGTTGGATCACACATCCTTAGGAACGATACAAACATGGAATTGCCTCCACCAGTAATGGACTATTTCGATTAAAATTTTTAATTCTGTAATGCGGAGTTCACAGCTGATTCTGTACTACCCTTTTCTCTATCAAAGGGATTAAGACCTGTTTCGATTGTCCGCCCCTGCCAGCTTTCGCCCCCAAATCCTGTTTTCAGCTCCAAAGGTGTGGATCCTGTCCAACACAATGGTAAGCCGCTGTTTTGTTTCTAGTTGTTCAATCTCTTACGGGTTCCCACTTTCGTAATTTTGCCACTGTTTATGCCACGCGATAATTTTACAAATGCGCAGCAGCCAAGCTAAACCATTGTGTCCCATTTCGGATGATTATTTGAATTCATTTTGAGTGCCCTACCGTGCTTCTGTCTGTGACCCCATGAAAATAAGGTAAAAAGTGGGCTCTCAGTAGCGCAGTATGTTCCTCGACTTCCTCTGCGTTTTAATTTTCGTAGAAAATTCGATGATTTCACGCGTTTTCGCGTATAGGTTTTCTCTCAATTGTACTTCGCGCTTATTCCTTATTCTCTGTTGGTTCGACATTTCGTCTAAATAAACACTACGTCTTTAAGTATAGGTTTGGTTTTTCAAAAGGACACTGAAAATTATCATTGTCGGGGTTTGTTTTTCAAAGAAGTGATGCTTTATGTGATTAGTGGAGCTGGTGTGCCCTCACTTGTCTAACTGGATTTTAACAGTAGCATTGTCGTTTTGTCGCCCTGAGCTAACCTTTTTCAGACGTTTTTTCTCATGCCATATACTCTCCTTAACCGCGTAGTAGTAATGTCATTCACATGTAGACAGTTGGTGTGGAAAATGACACTTTTTTACACATTTGTAATTACTTTTCGGTCATTTACGTCTCAACCAGGTACAGTTACGGCCCCTTCTGGACGTCCGTTGAACATCAGCCGAAGTGCGCCTGCCCTTGCGGCTCTTGACGCAGGAAAGGTTTTGAGACCACTTTCGCGGAATTACCCACTGCCCGCTGTTCCCCTGCCGGCCTGGTCCCCTCCTGACACGCCCCTCGATGCCGAAGGCCGCCCCTTGGCCCTTGACGTCCAGCCCGCCCTGCATTTGGTCACTTCTCCGACTACCGAAGGTAACCTTAGGGCCATTTATCAACTTCTTGTTTCAGTTGGTTCCGTTTCCCTGTTGGTGTCACATATACGGCGACTTTTTCATTAAGTGTCAAATAGGAGCATAACATCCTGTCATGGCCCTTGGTATTACTTCTATCATATATGCAGCGCTTTTCTGGCTATTTACATCCCTATTCTTTCCGTGTAAAATGCACATTATCTGCGTCAGGAAGAAAGGTTCCTGATAGTCGCATATCCCGCCGACTATCCGATGGTTAGTGAGTGCTAGCTGCGATATAAACGGGCGAGCCGCCATTAAATAACTTTGTTTGTCGTCGGTTCTTGGCGTGCAACTTCTTCAACCAGAGCACTAGGGGGGATAACCTCAGAATAGCAATCCAAGGGGATGTTGGCGACCTGCCTGTACTGAAAATCTTCAAGAAACGTCACGAACAATATCCGATCCAGGTATTGCGGTTCATGCTACGGCGTCCGCGGGAACCGACGCACTCCGCAACCCTGGCCCACTGGTGACGGCAACCAGTATGGACCACTCAATCGAAAACGGACTCGTAGTAGTAGTAGATGCCGGAATGTGTGAACGTTCCTGGACTTTAGTAACCAGAGTCTCACAGTGCACAGTTCTCATCAGTACAAGATGGAGGTCAACTGCCCGTCCTAAGTCCCGACTATGGCGCTGGAGAAGTCCAGATCCCAGTGGTCAGTTCCAACTTCACACTACACCCTAGTGAATTCTGATAGACACGGTGTGGCGATCGCTCATGCAACAAGCGAAGCATGTACTACTTTCGCGGAGATCAGTCGATAGCCAACTGACTTACTTACGACTGGACGGTCGCTTCACGAACATGTCTGCGTTTGCGCATCAACATCGGCCCGGCCGGCGCAATAAAGAACTCGCCTGCTTGCAGCTACAGGGATTTGTTGAAAGCCTCCCGCACTGTGCTTTGCTGATTGTTGTCGGGGACCGGAATGACCGGAGCGGACGCGATGACGCTTCAGACAGGCACTCCATTGACCGCTTTAGGTTTGGCTCTCGATGCGACAATGGTGAAGGCTTTATTTTGCCGCTCAGAACGGTCTACTTGTCACCAACGCATGCTTCAAGCATCGCCATGCCTACCATTCAAACTATGACCGTACGGCCGGCCAGAATGACTGCATTCTAGTCGGTCCAGCGTTTGACAAGGTTGTATTCTGTCGCCCACTTCGTTCAACTTGGTCATTGACTGGATTATCGGGAGGGCCTTCCACCGTTTTGACGGTGCTGCCTTTGCACCCGGAGGCCGACTGACTGATTTCGACCACGCTATTTCCCTGCTACTCCCAAGCTCTGATGATCCACCGAATGTGGTATCGCGTGTGGATAAGGTCGCCAAATCGCCCTCGTCTCTTAGAAGAGAGGTTAGACCAAACTGCTTTCGAACCGTATCCCTGACCAGGCGAAACCATCTCTCAGGCCTACCAACCCGGAGAAGTGGACAGTTTAAAGTACCACGGAGCGAGGCTGTTGTCGCTGCGCGTTAACATCGCGATGCTACGTCAGGTTAGTTCAGAACACGGCTGAGGTAGTTTTGGGATCCTCCTTCGTCGTCCGCCTCATAAATCTAGTGTCGCTGCCCTCTCTCCGGCACCGTTGCCCCCTTGGTTCGGTACAGTTCGCCAAAAGGTGGGAATGGTTCCTGCACCTTCGCTAGAGGATAAGAATGGGTCGAACTCTCCAGATCTGCTGCCGCAGATCGTCGCACGTGAGCAGATGCAATTCGCGATATCGTCGAAGCCGGCTACATCAGACATGATCACAGCTGCACCACGTACAAGTGTGAGCAAATCATTTTGTGACATTCAAGCTGTGGTATAAGCCACAACCAGGCTGGTTGCGGCTGTATTAGATGCGCTGAACTTAATCTTTTTGACTGCTAATCTCACTTAAGATTCCTCATACTTCCGGCATAATTGGAGTTAAAAAAATAAGTTCGACCATCACTTCTGCCCTCATAAGTCCCGCCCACTGCCTTTACCTATCTTCAGAGTCCTTTAAAAATCCTGTGGTACCTTTGAATTACATGATAAACTTCAGCACACTAAGGTTGGTTAAAAACGATAATTAACAATTAAACTGCTTTGCGATATTCTCCCCGTTGTTTTTTTCCGTCAGCAAAAGTAGCAATCCTGAAAACTCTTGTGATTACACCCTGCGGTTGTTTACACCCAGTTCTTGCCAAAGGGTGCTGTTTGCTTAGTTAATTCGAAACATTCTTAGGACTGGGTAACTTCGGCCTGGTAGGTGGTTGCCTGTTCGTCACCCCTATCACCCATACGAAGCTTGTTTGCTTCGAGAAGCCAATGGATCGGTGTGCACCCATTCCTGAGTAACTCTGATTCATTCTCCCTCCCTCCTAGGAGTCTGTCTTAGGTGGGAAATCGATGGATCTAATGGAAAGTTTGAACCAGCCGTTACCTACGAATTATTCAACTACACATCCTCGGATCTGAAAGGCAGGTCTGCATCCACTGACGTCTGGAAGAAGGTGAGATGAGTGCTTTCAGCTCCTTCACCTAACTCTCCCCCCTCTCCACCTGCATACTCAGACATTTCCAGTTACTTTGGTGCCTGCACGCCTGCGTTACCTTTTCCTCTCCTTTGATAGTTTTAAATAGTAATATACACGTTAACTTGGCTTGTCCTTATTCCAGCACAAAGGTTAGATAAAAGTCCAAACATGTGTTTCCCTGTTTTTTTCCTCACTGCAGGGGGCAGCTGCGAGATGTTTCGGATAAATAAGCTCTCTGGTTTTCTTTTTGATCTTTACTAAAGCGGGCTCTGCATGCGATATCAACTTCGAGTTATTGTCTACTTTTAATTTTATAGTAAACTGTTAATTTCATATAATCGTAGATCTCGGACATCGGCGCCCTGCCACTGCCAATGACCTGCACCCTCAGTAGCCTCTTTTCGAATGTGGTCTACTACTTTGCAATGCGCTCAGTTGACCGGTTCTCCAGATTCAGCGATTGGTCCAACGTTGTTAACGCTTTTATTCGATAATATTTATTTCTGACCTAAACCACCGGGACAATCCCCAGGGCACTGTTTCGGAGCGATTTTCCGATCCAGTCACCTGTACAGAATGTTTTGTCTGTAATTATTTTGTGTTTATGTCTTGGATAAAACTTAATATCTGCAGAACACTCCTCTTATTCTAGAAGTTGGGGCTGCTTTGGCCTATACAGCTTGAGGCCTCTTTTGGAACTGCCACCGCCACAGGGATGATTCTTCAAATTTAGCGGATAAGCCCTGGTCGTAATTTGCTCCTACACCAGTTTCCGATGTGTGGGCTGCCGGTACTTCTCTGACTTCTAACCTAGCTTGGTTGTAGTTTTGGTTTCGGAATTTCGTTAATCAGGAAGGGCGGAATCCCTCCGCATTTGGCGTGAACTCTTATAAAAAGCCCCCGGAAACAACTCAGCGAAATTCGAGGACAGCTTCGTTTCTTGAAGGAGTTGAAGGACGGAGCCTAGTCGGCGGATTAGATGTGGATGATGGCTGTCTAGCAGGCTCATAAGCACTATATTCCTAAGTGAATTCGGGTATAAATGTGGGTCAGACACGCTCCATAGTTTGGTAGTAGCTGCATCATATAACATTGGTGTGGCTGGCGCCAGGCTGGGCGTTCGGAAGTTCTTATTTTCGAACAGAGTGATCGAGGCTTGGAATGCTCTACCTGCAGATGTCGTCATGTCCACCTCCGTCGAGGCTTTTAAGCGCAAGTTAGACAGGTGTACCACTAAGCGTCATAATGTCACCTGACCGATGTCACCTTAGCATTTCGTTCAAGCAGTTTATTAATGTTATTATATTACTGCCTGTAATTCAGTAACGTTTGTTTTTATTGTCCCAAGTGTGTTTAATGTGGGTGTTGGCATTCAATTCGTCTCCCTCAGAAACAGATCGCACCACTTATCTATAGACAGACTACTGTACAACACATTTAGCAATGTTAATGTTTTTAACGCTTGGAAAAGTTCGTTCGTCTGTCTGGTTTCGAAAACTTTGCCAATCTGAAAAAACTTCTGTAGCTGTTTGATGCTTCCATTTCCAAATTTTTGACATAATTCGCCTTTTTGTAACAAATAGGGAGTTCAGAGGTTCACCGCCTATGTTTCCCTCAAACTGGAACTGTAAACGTATTAACGGCGTAAAGTTCTTGGCCGAAGTTCCGACTGGCTGATAGATTTCCAGGCCCGAGATGTTTAACAGCCCATCCAAGACTGGCCACTATTTCCCTTTTTACCCACGTAGCGAGTCTTGTTGATCGTGTTCACTTTAGGTCCGTGAATTTCGTACGAGATTGTAGGCTGCCATTTGCATACTGAAATTGTGCCAGAAACCACTTGGGGAACGCTGGGGTGTAGATGAAGAGCCAAAACCTTCGCAGTTGCACCATGCAGCTGTAGGACGTTTCGAATAGCCCCCCCCCCTCTCCCCATTAGGCCAGAGTGACCATTTACTTCTCTTGTCACAGTCCTAAGGGCATTTCGTCCTGGAAGCCATACAAACGTCGCTCCACAGACACGACCAAGACCCCTAAAAACCGTCGTAAGTAGCAATGAGCAGGCGAAACTAATCCTTTCCAGGCGTCTTCGACTGAAACATTCCCAAAAAGGGGTGTTTTTTTCAGCCGGACTACTCACCTGCCGAGAGATTTCAACGCCGCTAACTTGTCCTAGAATTTAAAACACGGCAAACCAACGGAGAAAAAAACTTGACAATCTACAAAGACCGGATAGTCAAACGACATTCCATTCCCCTCTGGATCAAGCGGATCCGAATGACCGCACAGATGCTCCAGTAGCCTGTGTCAGGGTTGAAAACAAATCTCGCATGAACTCGAAACTCATATTCATGTATACTAACGCGCAAAGTATACTTTAAAAACTGGCTAATCTCCGTATCCATACGTACGACCTCCACCCAGACGTTATCCCAATAACAGAAACATGGTTGTCCGAACAGGTTGGTGATAGGGAGCTCATTCTCCCTGGATTTCAACTGTACTGCAGAGACAGAGAAAAGAGAAGGGATGGAGGCAAGGTAGCATTTGTTAAGAATGACTTGTGCGTTTCAGAAAAAGCTGCCAAATTGACTTGTAGTACGGAAGCTTATGGCTGACCATAAGGACACCTGGCCCTCAAAGGCTCGATGTCTTGACAGTATGTCGTTCCCTGAGAGATGACCCTGACGCTGATGCCCGACTGCTGGAGGAGCTCAGATTATTTTCGACGCGGCCGACTACTCTCATCGTTGGAGATTTTAATGCACCTCACATAAACTGGAGCTCGGCCTCAGCCGACTGCTCTGAAGCAGCATCAGACCAGCAGCTACTGCGTACCTCCGGCAATCTGTTTTTCACCTACCACGTAATGTTTCCAACGAGAGTTCGAGAGGGCCAACAAATGAACTGCCTCGATCTTGTGTTGGCCAAGTCGTTTGACAACATCGACGTTGTGAATTGCCTCCCCCGTTGGGTCAGAGTGACGATGTAGGATACACCTTACTCCCTCCCTCTCTCACTCTCTCTCTCTCTCTCTGTGGCCACCTCACTGCTTCGTTCCCGACCCAATATTTGTCGTCGCGATTTAAAACTGATGAAGAATTATCTTCGTCCTATTGGCTGGGCATCCACACAGTCTGGTGATATCGACGAGGTTTGGTGTCAGTTCAAAGATATGGTTTACAATCTCATCTCCAACCACTTCCAGGTAATGCGAAGAAGACTACCGAATAGACGCCGCTGGTTGACTCCATCTCTAAAGAAGGATGCTAGCACGAATAGGAAACTTCGAGGAAGATCCCTCGCTGATCGGATGCATAAATCTCTCAGCAGTCGAAAGTTGCAGAGAAACCAGGTCTAAATTCTCATTGCCACAGATCTTTTGAACCGTGCCATGGTTACTCTCAAAGTTCTTAACGGTTTTATAAGGCAAAGTACGCGGAAGAAGGATTCTATCCTACTGTTGCGAACGGCCGTAGGTGCGGAAATTGCGGAGGCCAAGGATAGGGCTGACGATCTCTCTCTCTCAGTTCTTCCGGTCCGTCGTGACAAGTGAACCTGATTTTTTCTCACTCGCTTGTGAAGACGAGGAGACGCTCACTATTGAGTCAGTCCTATCCACTGAAGCAATCGTCCAGGAAGAGTTAGCAAACCTGAGATAATCGACCTCCCCAGGTCCTGATACAATCTCGGCCAAGCTATTGAAGGAGCTGGCTCCCGAAGCGTCCAAACCGATAATCTTGATCTTCCAAACGTCATTTGTTACTGGGAGTCTGCCCTCTGATTGGAAGTCCGCTATTATCACCCCGCTTTTTAAGAGTGGAAGTCGTGCGTCTGCGAATAACTACAGGGCAGTGAGTCTTACCTCCATCCAGTGCAAAATCATGGAGAATATAAGTAAGAAAGCCTTGATGCAGTTCTTCGAGCAGCACCACCTCCTCTCCGATGCCCAACACGGCTTTCGAAGTGGTAGGTCCTGTCTCACGAATCTGCTCCTTATACTCGAACGCCGGACCCAAGCACGCGATGAAGGCAATATGGTGCACGCCATCTACATCGACTTCAAAAAGGCCTTTGACAGCATTCCACACCAACGTCTCCTGTACAAACACCACAACGTAGGAATTTGTGGAAGCCCTCCTGTACGAATCCAGAACTTTTTGACTGGACGGTCCCAAAGAGTGCAGGTCGGACGCCAGCAGTCCTCAGAGGTGACCGTGGTGAGCGGCGTCCCATAGAGCTCAGTCTTAGGCCCCACATTATTCTTTGCTTTCCTAAATGACTGCGTGGGGGACCTAGACTGTGGTGTCATCCTGTTTGCTGACGACATAAAATTGTGGAAAACCTCCCACAATGCGGCAGACAGAGACCACCTACAATTAAACTTGAACATGCTCGAGGGATTGGTCGAAGCGTTCCCTTATGCCATTTAATGTGAGTAAGTGAATCTTCCTTCAAATCGGCAACTGCAGAGCCTCCAGCCTCAGGGCTTACTTTCTAAACGGCACACCACTGCAACAAGTTGACAGTCAGAATGACTTGGGTGTGTGGATTGCATCTTTGCTCAAACCGACATTGAACCGCGCGAAGGTGGCCAAGTTGGCCATATCAATATTACAACACATTAGGAGAGCCTTTATGAGATTTGACAAAGACGGCTTTGCCGAAACATTGGGAAACTTCGTGCGGCCGTACCTAGAATACGCCATACAGGCATGGAGACCTCTGACCGTCAAGGACTACCATCTTAGAGAAGGCCCAGAGGCGTGAGGCAAAAATGATCAAAGGCCTAGGAGCACTGCCCTATGAAAACAGACTGTCAACTCTCAACTTATTTCACTTTTCCCATAGGCAACTATGCGGTGACCTCATACCAACCTTCCGCACCATGAATAGCCCGAGCTCTTGTTTGTCCACAGTGATTTTTCAACTCAGGGTAACACGCCCACTTTGTGCGGTCACCCTCTAAAACTACGCACAGGTAAAGCAGGAATCAGTGAACGAAGGTTCTTCTTCAGCAACCGAGTAGTTGCAGCGTGGGACACCCTGCCACTAATATTTTACTCTCCTCTTGTGCGGATTCACTTAAGTATGGACTCGACACTTATCAAGCATCCCAGTTACCAGTCACACGCTCGACCACATAACCAGTCGCTTGACTTACACATTACCATACTATTGAAAATATGTGAGTAGGCGTTTATGTTTACTATGCATCGGCAAGTAGACACCTGCTTGCTTTTCGCATGCAGTTATGCAAACGATCTCATTTTCACTTTTCCACTTATGAGTGCTTTTTATTAGACAGTCTGTAACCAATAGGAAGTCCAAATGCGTTCGTCTGTCCTTCCTTCAATAAAACTAAGCTGAACTAACACGTTTCCGGACTTTTGGTTGGCACAAAGAACGAAGGCCTACGTAAAGAGCGTACTGCTTTGCACCTTCATTGAGAACTCTCGTCCCGGTGAAACACACGCTGAGGTGTAGAAAGCCC